TCTCTGCTGGAAAGGTTTTCATAAATCTGAAAGGATTTTCAATGTGGTATCACTGAAGGAGAAGAGCCACCAAAAAAAAAAAAAACCAGAATAATATGAATAGAGAGAAGTGGAGGAAACATCCAGAAAGAGGATGGGTAGCACTAAACTGTAAACTTCAGGATGGTAGTTTCCTCCCCAAACTAAGGACAACTCTTGGAACATACTGCCTAATGTGGTAATTGAACCTTCACAGATTCATCCCAGAACCAATTAAAAGCAGAAAAACCTCAGGCCATCTGACCAAGACAAGCTAGAAACAGAACAAGTTTTGCCTTCAGATAGATGTTCTGAGGTGATCTGAGGATCCTTCCAAATGCCTAAAAATCTGGATTATATACTAGAGCATCATTTAGTCCGGCATTTTAGGGTTAAGAGGAGAGAGGACAAATATCTCAATATCTGTTTTTAATTAACATAGTATCAGTTCCTCTACTGTTAAAAAGAAGTGAAGAAGGGAAGAGAGCCAATACATTACAGACAACCATTAATTCAGCTTAGTGGAGAGTATGAGGCTTATTATTTTTACTAGTGTCACTCATTAAATATGTTTTCGATATGTATTTCAGGGAACTAAAGCAAGTGAGGATGCAATCCCACATCCGGCTAAGCTGGTTTTTATAATATGTGTTTGGCTTCTAAAATAGGCATAAACAGCCTTTATTTAGATCTATGCTATTTACTTCCAACAGAGAAGGAACCTCAGAACTTTTTAATAGGTTATCTTCTTTTTTTACACCTCTGTTGTGATGATGAAGGAAAAATACATGATACCTAGGGCAAAAGAAGATTGAGCTTAATTACAAAGATTTAAAAGAAAAATTCACATGGTGGCTTTTTAGAAAAAGAACACTGTCTTCCTTTCATCTCAAGGCAAACCACTTTATCATGGAGCATAAACACTGTGCTCTTCTTTTAAACATTTTTTGTGGAACTTACATCCTTTTTTACTGAAAGAATCTGGAATCTTAGATTGAATCTTGTAATCTGCAAGTATTCCTAACGTATTTGTGCAATCTGAACAGTCGACTGCTATTCACAGCCACTTGAGGAACTAAGTCGCTGTATCAGTTCATAAATAGTTTTCTCAAGTGAAATGATACTTTCGACAGAACATTTATAAACTACAATTTTTCTAAATTCTTTTGGAGAAGAAAAATTTTAAGTGATGGAACAAAAATAAACAAAGTTATATTATTCATTTACCATGTTTACTGATCCAGTGTACATTACTTCAGAGCGGAGATTTATAATGCACAATCAACACACAGAGTGATGCATGATTAAATATGCCAAAGTCTTAATGATAATACCACTTTACATGTGGATAGAACAGTCCAGTTTGCAAAGCACTTGCATCCATACACTCATTTAACTCTATGTGTCTATCAATTTAAATATAATAGATATGAGTCCATTTGGTTAAGAAAATCCATGTACTAAAATGGTTAAGAGCATGGAATCAGAAGACCTCTGTCTGGTTTCAAATCCTAGCACTACCACTTATTAGATACGAGATTCAGGTATATTACTCAACATTTCTGTGACTCAGTTTCATCATCTGTAAGATAGGGATAACAATCATATCTACTTCTTGGGCCCACTAAAGACTGAATCAATCAATATATGTCAAACACTCAGAACTGAATCTATCACAGAGTAACCTTTATATATTATGTATGCTGGTTGTACTTAATACTGTATCATTGTATGGATAGGGAAATAAGCTAATAAGTAATAGGGCCAGAAATAAAAACCAAATCTTCCTCTATTTGATGCTCTATTCACAGAGGGCTGGGATTTTTTTTAAGTATCCTAAAGGTTTTCTAAACTGATATAAAGTGTTTAATGTGGAATTGTACAAATCAAAAAACTCAGCAGCTCAAAACATTTATAAAGTTGTACTATAATCTATTTATATATACATTTTAAGTTAAAGGGCTTATTAAAAAAGAAAATATTCCATTTTGAGGACAGAACTGTACACTAAGGAGTAGTTACCTGTGTTGCTATATTTGTAAAACAAAACTCTTTTCCTTCATTTTTCCAAAGACCAAAAAGGCAATAAAGCCTATGTTACTTTGATGATCATTACTTCAATTTATCACATTTAAAAAGTCTAGAAGGAAACATACTAAGATGACAATAATGACTATATTAGGATCTCCTTTTTTTTTTCTTGGTTTTCAAAACATTCAGTATTATGATATAACATTCATAATCTTAAAAGTGATTTCCAAAAAAGGTTTATCAAGGATTAAAAGTAGCATTGACAAAAGAAACACTTAGAAATAATTCTAGAAAATAATAGATGCCCAGCTGAAAAACCATCCTCTTTTTTCAAACATATTTTAGGTGTCTTTCCTCAGATTTTATTCTAAATTTTTCCCTTTAGTGATTTAGGTGACTGATAACATCTTCCACTATATCTAAAAATAGGGCATGGGTGTGTAAATTTATGAGCTGAAATGCAAAACTGGCACTGGATGTCTAAATAAGAGTATGAAATCATTCAGCATACTCTAATATAAAAATATATTTTAAGCATTGATATCTACATGCTTTGCATATACATACAATTTTAATTCAACCATCTTTAATCTTTTCATATGAAGTGAAAAAATGTGAAGTCATGAACTTTTTTTAACATTCTCAAATATGCCAAGTCACTTCTTCAGAGATTAACTTGGACAAAGCACTCCTTCACTCCTGGTCTCAGGTTCCTTCTTTGAATAATAATAGACCAGAACATCAGTGGTTCTCAACCTTCTTTCCACCCCAGCCCATCTGGGGGATTCCATATCTTTCCATTTGCAGCAGTGGGGACAGTCTGAAAATGTCCCACAAAAACTTCTGATACACTACCCTCGATCCTGGCTCTAGCCTCTGCCCTCCACTCAACTCCAAACTGAAGTTTTCAGAGGTTCTGCACAGCTTTAAGGTCTGCCACTTTGGGTACAGAAAAAGTGTACCCAATGACCTGGAAGGTATCTGACCGTGTTACCTCAATACAGCTAAAAAGAAAGGCCGAGAGTTAATATGTATCTTCTTTTGTTAGAACATGCAAGATTCAAGTAAGGATTTATATAAGGATGATATCAAAGATGGCTCTGTAACTGTTCATAAGGTAAACAGCACACACACTTTACTTGGACTGGCTTCTAATCAAGGAGGTGTAAACAGTAAGAAAAGTGTAGAATCAAACAAAATAACAGCCCTTAAAGTACGAGGGAATGATATGAACATGTGATTATTGGAAAGGAGATTTGTGCAAGCCAACTTTCCTGATAACAGGAAAGGAAAGCCAAAGACTGGCACAGAGATGGGATGTTATGTGACCACCCCCCCCAATTTATTCTCAAAATATCAATTTGTTACAGGCCTATCATCAATTCTATGTGATTTTTTTTTAACCAAACAACTCAGTTATAAACAAATAGTAACTAATAGCTAAAAAAAATATGATTTGGGTGTATTCCATATTATAAATATTCAGCATGGTGACTGACAATTGCCCAGTAAAGTATTTACAAATAATGTCCATTTTCTTTGACTGTCTACTTACTGTGGACAAATTCTACATTATTTAAAATCTATTGTATATGCAAAGTCTTGTGAAGAATTCTCACAAGTAGGAAATAAGGAAATGGAATTTAAAACTTCCTTGGAACAGATGTATTGTTTCATTCAAATGTAAGCCAATATTACATATTATTAATAAGCATACCAGTCATGACAAAGACGCTGGTTAGGGCTTCGAAATTAGGGTAATTTTGAATGTGTAACTGCATTACCTTCAGGTCAGAAAACATGAATCAATAAATGCAGTTACCTTTCTGTTTTATAGAGAAGACCCTCAAATGGCACACACACAAAAACGGTATCCTACACATTCAGCATCTGAACAACAAAAAAGGCTGGACCTGAAAGTTGCTGTCCTCTGTACCAGAAGATGCCACCAGTTGTGACTGAGAATACAATGTATATATCTCCATCACTTCATGTCTTAAAAAGTTAATAAAATTTTTCTGTAGCATTGATTTCTTCTAAAATTATTTACACGGCATGCTGTTGGCTTAACTTACTGAAACACTCCCCATTTAAAAATAAATTCTCCACGTTCTCCATATACTATAAAACCTTCTTAAAACCTGTGTCAGTGAACAGACCCATAACCCAATAAGAAATAAAAGTGAACAGAAAAAAAAAAAAGGCCCAACCCCAATTTTGTAAGATATTCACATCTGAAACAGTAGCAATAAATACAGTATTATGCAAGAGAAGGCAATTCCTTACAGAGTTGGGATGGATAAATATTTGTTGAATGAATATATACATTTCTTTTTCATTCTATACTCATGTGTCAAAGCATCAAACAACTTATATTGTGGCAGTTTTTGTTGTGTCTCGAACTTTACATGTAAGTTTATCATGGTGGGAGGGGGGAACCTGTTTGGCTTGACTCACGATGAATCACAGCCAGGAGGTCATCTTGTTGTGTATCAGCAACTATGTTTTCACTACAGCTATGTGACCTGAAGTGGCAGCAGAAGAGGTACCAAAATAGAAGAGGCAAGAGGCTTCTCCTGGCGTCTGGGCCCCAAATGGGCTTTTCCAGCCCGTTCAGGGATCTGAGCAGGAGCCAACCGCAGAGGAGAAACGGAACAAACCCACAGCATCGAGGAGACAGCCTGCAGGCCCACCACACCTTCCTTGCCCTCGCAGGGAGCCCGGGAAAGCAAGAACAGAAAAGAACGGGTGTGGAGAAAACAGCATGACAGGGACCAAAACTAGACCGGTGTAAGGCAAAATCCAGCGGTGACCTTAAAGCACAGATTTTGCGAAGGTCTGGAGCCACAGAAGGATCTCCACCCAGGGACTCCCGGTGCAGCTCCGGCGCTAGCGCGCAGCGGGGCCCCGGTTTCCAAGCTATCCGGGACTTGTCCCTGCTCCCACCTCACCTGTCCAGTGCCCGCTGGCCCCACCGGCATCTCTGGCCCCCTGATCCACCCGCACCCTCCCATCCCGTGCCCTCCCGGCGCGTCTTTCGGGACCATCGCCGGGGTCAGTGTGGGCAGGGAGCCGAAGCGCGCCCCGTCGCCCCAGGCCTGGCCCGGGCACTCACTTTCTGAATCCTCTTCAGCGCCATGGGTCAGGGAGGGCGGCGGGGACACCGGCCGGCTGGCGGCAGCTACGGGGCGCGGGGGCGTAGGGTCTCGCGGGCTCGACTCGCTGGCTGCTGTGCTGGTTCAGCCCGGGTTCCCCGGCTTGCTGCTCGCTGCTCGCTGGCTCGCTCCGGGCGCCAGTGCCTGCTCAGTGTGCGCCCGAGCGCGAGTGTGCGCGAGTGTGCGGGCGGGGACGCCGGCAAGACTCTTTTGTTTCCGCTTTTGCTTCTGGGAAGGAGTCTGCGCCCTCCCCGCCCGCGCCCCGCCCCGCCTGGCACACTGGGAAGTGTAGTTCCAGCCCTGTCCTCTGCTGTCTTCCCTGGACAACGTCGGGTTACTCAGTGCTGACTTCTACCCAAGCCTGGACTTAGAACTGCGCAGTCTTGAGTTGGTCTCTGCAGTTTGATTTTGATCAATTTATGAACCTAAAGTTCCCAATCTGTAAAATAGGAATAACAAATTAGCTCGTAAAGCACTTACAGGAATTTCCAATACAGAGATCTGCTATTTTTACTTTTGTAGAGTGATCTCTCTTCTCAAACATACATAAATTGCCCAAATTTCTCACACATGCACAAACGTAACCGTAATGACTCCTTACTTACCTCCTTAACTCCTATTTCAAAAAGCACCTCTATCCATGGCTACTCTCCCATGTCTCCTTCTCCTTGGAACTCCAAATTCTGAGATTCACCATCATTATTGGCTCTTCTCTTCCTTCCACAGTACCTACAATCTACTCCCCACAATTCTCATGAATTTAAAATCTACTCCCCTCAATTCTTGTGAATTTGTGTGTTCGTTAAAATTTGGCTTCTACTTTCAGAACAAACAAAATCGATTTTCACCAAGGTCAGGCTTGAGCTTCTAATTACCAAATCCAATTCACTCCTCATTCTTCCTAATGTTTTTGAATCATTTGATGACTGGCCATCCTTTTGCTTTTCAAAGCACTCAGGGACACTATCTTCCATGGTAACTTTCCTGGTAGCTGGGTCTTAAACTTCTCTGACTTTTCTTTTTCTGTCACTAGCTCCTCTTCTCAAGAGATAGAGTGCCCCAGAATTCCAAGCCTTGATCTCATCATCGATTTCTTCCTAGAAGATAAACCTCTTGGCTTCCCAAAACTGGGAGACTTCCCAGGGCGATTGGAGGAGCATGTGCTTTGTAGACTGATCTGTCTGACCACTTCCTACTGTTTGACCACGGCTAAGACACTTTAAACTAAGCCTCAGTTCCTTCACCTGTCAATAGAGATAATAATTCCTGGATATATCAAAATTAATTGGTATTAAAATATATAGTGCCAAACACAGTACCTAACATGTCAGAAGTTTTCTATAAAAATTACTTCCCTTTGGAAAAACAAATATTGTTTAAATGCCTATACTACCCAAAGCAATCTATACATTTAATTCAATCCCTATCAAAATACCACCAGCATTTTTCAGAAAACTAGGACAATCCTAAGATTTGTATGGAACCACAAAAGACCCCGAATAAACAAAGCGATGATGAAGCAGCAAAGTTGGAGGCATCAATTCCACCTTCAAGTTGTATTACAAAGCTGTGGTAGTCAAAACAGTATGGTACTGGGGCTCCTGGGTTACTCAGTGGTTAAGTGTCTGACTTCAGCTCTGATCATGATCTCAGGGTCCTGGGATTGAGCTCCGCATTGGGCTCCCTGCTCAGTGGGAAGCATGCTTCTCCCTCTCCCACTCCCCCTGCTTGTGTTCCCTCTCTCACTGTCTGTCTCTTTCTGTCAAATAAATAAATACAATCTTTAAAAAAAAAAAAGCACTATGGTACTGGCACAAAAACACAGACACATAGATCAATAGAACAGAATAGATAATTAGAAATAAATCCACAATTTTATGGTCAATTAATCTTCAACAAAGCAGGAAAGAATATCCAATGGAAAAAAGACAGTTTTTTTAGCAAATGGTGCTGGGAAAACTGGACAGCCACATGCAAAAGAATGAAACTGGACCACTTCTCTACATCATACACAAAAATAAATTCAACATGAATTAAATTCAAAACGGATTAAACCTAAATGTGAGAGAGGAAACCATCAATATCCTAGAGGAGAACACAGGCGGCAACTACTTTGACATCAGTTGCAGCAACTCTTTATTAGATATGTCTCCAGAAAGGGAAACAAAAGCAAAAATAAACTACTGAGACTATATCTAAGTATAAAGCTTCTGCATAGTGAAGAAAACAGTAAACAAAACTAAAGGTCAACCTACTGAATGGGAGAAGATATTTGCAAATGACATACCCAATAAAGGGTTAGTATCTAAGATATATAAAGAACTTATAAAACTCAACACCCCAAAAATAAATAATCCAGTTAAGAAATGAGCAGAAGACATAAACAGACATTTTTCCAAAGAAGACATCCAGAGGGTCAACAAACACATGAAAAGATGCTCATCACTTGGTGGTGTATGTAAATGATGAATCACTAAATTTCATTCGTGAAATCAATATTATGTTATATGTTAAATAACTGGAATTTAAATAAAAATTGGGAAAAAAGGAAAAAAAAGATGCTCATCATCAAGTTATCAGGGAAATGCAAATCAAAACTACAGTTGAGATATCACCTCACACCTGTCAGAATGACTAAAATCAACACTACAAGAAACAACAGATGTTGGTGAGGATGTGGAGAAAAAGGAACCCTCTTACACTATTTTTTTTTAAATAATGGCTTTGTCATTTTGAGTATATGGGAGAGGAAAGTATAGTTAAATATACATCATACCAGTGATGTTGGCAATGTTGAGTTAACCCTAAGGTTGATAGCTGTAAAAACTAGTTTGTACATGACAAGACAATGAGAGGAAAAAAATCCCTTTTGAAACAAAATTTTTAAAAAAGTGTTCATAGTGGTTTACAACAGTATGTATTTTATGACAGTGACATGTACAGATTGAGCACCCTAGGGCTCTCGTTATATCCTAAAGAAAACAAGCATTTACGTCATCCATGGGTTGAACTGAATTTTAAAAAGATCAATTGTATACTTATCCCTTATACAGGATAAACTGTTCTGAGGTGTACAGCTTTATCACCATCATTAAAGTTGCTTGTAAAGGACTACAGAATTTAAAAAAAAAAAACATTTTTATTTCTTGGGAGTGGAGAGTCTTTAATTTACTGTTATAACCAACAAATGCCATTCATTAATTCAAAAAATGGAAGAGGGACCTCACAAATACACTATTTGAGCAAGCTGACCAATACACATTACAGTTTTCAAAATGAAGGTCATATACTCTATGTTACAAGTCCCAACTAGACAGTGTCAAAATGACAACTATTTCTTCGCTTGCTTTGTGATCATACCCCTTGGAGGTATTACAGGTCTCATGGCATTCAGCTTCTTTTTCTTTGCAGGCTTTAAAATCTGAAAAGAACACATTAGAGTTTTGTCCACACTCATCATGGCACCTGCATTGTCAAACTCTCCACAATGATTGGGTGCAGATAACAGAGTGACCAAGTGCCTCTTTGCCAAAAATTCATATTCATCTTCAACCACCTGGTAGGCTCCAAATCATGCTTATGGAAAAATTTTGCAACCACTTCTGCACCAAATGTGAAGGATACTCCTCTGTCATTTTCACCCCAGCCTAAGACATCTTTATCAGGGTCAGACCACAAAAGATCACAAAAAAGACCTTGATCCGATACATTAGTTGATTGTGTAATTCCCTGAATCTGCTCCATAGATTGAAGATCTGGTGATAAACCTCCATGAGAGCAGAATATCTTCTTATCCATGATGGCTGCTATCAGTAAACAGTTAAAGCAGTCTGTGAAAGTTTCCCATAGTTTAATGTTATATCTTCTTTTACATTCATCATAATCCATAAATTCTATTGATGCTGGCACATTCATGGTTTCCTCTGAGAAGAAAAAAATAATTCTCAGGATATTTGATTTCATAAGCCTGTAAGAGACAGTCTCCAAGGACTGCTTTTCCCTTCTCGATGTAGTCCCCAAGAAATAGGTTGTTACTTTCTGGTGGGAAGCCACCATTCTCAAAAAGTTGAAGTAAATCATAGTATTGCCCATGGATATCACCACATATTTTGTATTGTACTTCAAGTTCTAGTAGGATGCGCTGACTGAGAAAGATCTCTTGGGACTTTAGCACAGTCCTCAGGTTTCATTCTCCTGTAGCTGGACATTCTTACCAGGCTTGGACCCTCTCCCTTCCAGCAATCCTTGGATGATGCTGTCCATGTTGAGTTTATCTATATCTGCTACTGTCTTCCCACTCTCAGTGGACCCTCCCTCAGCAGCACCACTACTTGCTCCAGCTGGGACTCCCACCAACTACTCCCACAATAGGAGCACAGAGGCAGTGGCAGCAGCAGTGGCAGAAGCCACAGTGACGGCGCGGCGGGGGGGGGGGGGTGTGTGTGGGGAGTTGGCTAACCCCCTTGCTCCCTGCTTCCTTCTTCTTTCCCTACTGGAACCATGAGAAGCACCCTCTTGCACTATTGATGGACATGCAAACTGGTACAGCCACTGTGGGAAACAGTATGGAGGTCCACCAAAAAAAGAACTCAAAAAAATAGAACTACCTTATTGCCCAGCAATCGCATTACTGAGTATTTATCCAAAGAATACAAAAACACTAATTCAAAGGGATACATGTGTCCATTGACTGATGAGTAGATAAAAAAAAGAGGTGGTATATATATACAGTGGAATATTATTCTGCTATAAAGGAATGAATTTTGCCATTTGCAATGACATGGATGGAGCTAGAGTGTATATGCTAAGGGAAATAAGTCAGCCAGAGAGAAACAAATTCCACATGGTTTCACTCATGTGGAATTTAAGAAAAAAACAAACAAAAGGAAAAAATGAGAGAGAGAAAATCAAAAAACAGACTCTTAATTATAGAGAACAAACTAATGGTTACCAGAGGGGAGGTGGGTAGGGGGAAGGGTTAAATAGGAGGTGGGGATTGTGTTGATGAACACGGGGTGATGTATGGACATACTAAATCACTATATTGTATAACCAAAACTAAGATAACACTGTATATTAACTAACTGGAATTAAAATAAGTTAAGATAGAAAAGAAAATTACTTCCTTGTTTTTATCTGTATGATAATGATCTCTTTCCAGCCCCCACTGTCAGTCCAGTTTCAGCCTTATATTTCCAAAAGCATATTGAATATGTCCACCTTTCTTCCCTGTGACCAGGGATCAGAGTCTGTTTACTACAAGGTCAGGGTGGAGGAAACCTTTTCTGGAAGCCCAAAACAATAGCTACTATAGCATTCTAAAGGCTTACAAAGAGTAAGGAACAAAAATCCACTCATTTAACTTAAAAGAAAATGCCCAAAGGAATAGGATAGTGGAAGAATGATAGAAATAATTTATGGGATGTGAACATTAAATTGGAAGTCCCCCAACCATCCTCCACAGGCAAAAACCCTAAGACAGTTCTGGAGCCCGATTACTCTTACTTTCCCTTCCCTGAGGTTTCCCTTCTCTCGCCCGTTGGCCCATGCCATGTGCATTTTTCCAGCTCCTTCTTTGCTTCTCTCATACGTGGCTTGAGCTCGCACTTTTTTTGAAACTCACTTTTGACACTCTTCCAGCAACTGTTGTGCTGCTAAATGTTCACGTACTTTTGGTTCTCCCTATTTCATCTCCCTAAGGAAGACTCTCATTGACGTAAATCATCTTTTTACTCTAGGCTATAAATTGTCAGCTGGTGAACAAAGTATAGGTTGACTAACAATGAGCTATGGAAAGTTTGAAGTATTTTTGGACAAAAAGCATTCTGAAGCACACCAGCAAGATAGATGTATTTGGGCTATTTTGATGCATCATTTTTGTGCTCTAGAAAGTGGGACCCAACACCCACATTACTCTTCTTTTTTTATAAGGCAAATATGAGAGTGTCCTTGGAAATAAGGGAGAAACAGTCTGGAATTGGGTACTAGCTGCTTTGGGAAGTTTCTTTCCCAAAATGACAGCATTTGCATACCTATCATCAGCGAAAGTACTCTTGTCACCCTTTCTACTCCTTCCCCAATTTGGAACCACCATTCTGATTTCTGTCACCATAGATTAGTTTTGTCTGTTGTTCAATGTCATGTGCATAGAAAAATACAATAATACTCTTTTGTGTTTGAGTTTTTAAGGCTTAAGTAACATTTTCCAAATTCTCTTATTTTGTTATATACATTCGTAGTTCATTCTTTTTAATTGCTGGACAGTGTTCATGGTATGAATATACTAAATTATTTTTTCTCCTGTCTCAAGTTGATGAACATTTGGGTTGTTTCCAGCTGGGGTTTATTACAAATAAAGCTGTTATGAATATTTTTGTACATCTTGTTTTATAAAGAATTGTTTACATTTCTCTAAGATAAAACCTTAGAATTAGAATTACTGGGTTATGGAATAGTATATGTGTAATATAAGAAACTACCAAAAAGTTTTCCCAAGTGGTTGTATAATTTCCAATTTTCACTTTTGATCTCTCTTTGACATTTCCATGGGTCATTCAGAATTATAGTGTTTAATTTTTAAATATTTAGGGCTTTTCTAGGCATCATATTGTTATTAATTTCTAACTTACTATGTCAGAGAACATACTCTATAAGTTCAGTCATTTGAAATTGATTCTTATTTCATGCACTAAGCATGTGGTTGGTCTTGAAAAAAATTCCATATGCACTTGAAAAAAATGTGACTTTTATAAATATTGGGTATAGATTTCATGAACAATCATTCAGGTCAAATCTTTGTCCTTAGTAATTTTCATCCAGTTGTTCTACCAATTACTCAGAAGAATGATAAAAATCTCCAACTGACTAACTATAGATTTGTCTATTTCTCCCCTCAGTTCTTTCAAATTTTGCTTCATGTATTTTGAAGCTCCAGTGTCAGATTCATGCACATCTATGATTATTATGTCTACTAATAACTGACCATTTTTAACTTTCTAAGTTTTCATTTGGGATTGTATATGCTGTCTTAAAGTCTAATTGTGTGATATTAATACAGTCACACAATCTTTTATTTATTGTTTCTTTATTAAGTTCAATTAGCCAACAAATAGTACATCATCAGTTTTCCACGTAATGCTCAATGATTCATTAGTTGCATCTAACACCCAGTTCTCATCAGGATCACATTCCATCCTTAATGCCCATTACCCAGTTACACCATTACCACAGCCCCTCCCTTCCGCAACTCTCAATTTGCTTCTTGGAGTCCAGAGTCTCTCATGGTTTGTCTCCCTTTCTGATTTCTTTCCATTCAGTTTTCCCTCCCTTCCCCTATGGACCTCTGCACTATTCCTTATATTCCACATAGGAGTGAAACCATATGATAACAGTCTTTCTCTGATTGACTTATTTCACTCAGCATAATACCCTCTGATTCCATCCATGTCAATACAAATGATGGGTGTTCATCCTTTCTCATAGCTGAGTAATATTCCATTGGATATATGTACCTCATCTTCTTTATCCATTCATCTATTGAAGGGCATTTCAGCTCCTTCCACAGTTTGGCTATTGTGGACATTGCTGATATGAACATTGAGGTGCATATGTCCCTTCTCTTCACCACATCTGTATCTTTAGGGTAAATACCTAATAGTGCAACTGCTGGGTCATAGGGTAGCCCTATTTGTAACATCTTGAGGAACCTCCATACTGTTTTCCAGAGTGGCTGGAGCAGCTTACATTCCCATCAACAGTGTAAGAGGGTTCCATTTTCTCCACATCCTTGCCAACATTTGTTGATTTCTGTCTTGTTAATTTTGGCCATTCTAACTGATGTAAGGTGGTATTTCATTGTGGTCTTGATTTGCATCTCCTGATGGCAATATGGATCATTTTTTTATGTGTTTGTTAACCATTTGCATGTCTTCTTTGAAGAAGAGTCTATTCATGTCATCTGCCATTTCTTGACCTGATTATTTTTTTGTGGAGGGTTGAGTTAGAGAAGTTCTTTAGACATCTTGGGTACCAGCCCTTTATCTGTTATATCATTTGCAAATATCTTCTCCCATTTCATAGGTTGCCTTTTAGTTTTGTTGACTGTTTTCCTTCCTGTGCAGAATCTTGTTCTCCTATGAAGTCCCAGTAGATCATTTTTGCTTTTGTTAATCTTGTCTTAGGGATGTGTCTGGGAAGAAGTTACTGTAGCCAAGGTCAAAGAGGTTACTGCTTGTGCTTTCCTCTAGGATTTTGATGGATTCCTGTCTCACATTTAGGTCTATCATCCATTCTGGGCTTATCTTTGTGTATGTTTCATTCTTCTGCATGTGGCTGTCCAATTTTTCCAGCACCATTTATTGAAGAGACTGTCTTTCTTCCACTGGATATTCTTTCCTGCTTTGTCAAATATGAGTTGACCATGGATTTGAGGGTCCATTTCTGGGTTCCCTATTCTGTCCCACTGATTTCTGTGTCTGTTTTTTGTGCCAATACAATGCTATCTTGATGATCACGGCTTTGTAATATACCTTGAAACAATGCATTCTGATGCCCTCAGGTTTTTTTTTTAATTTTTTAAATTTATTTTTATAAACATATAATGTATTATTAGCCCCAGGGGTACAGGTCTGTGAATCGCCAGGTTTATATACTTCACAGCACTCACCATAGCACATACCCACCCCAGTGTCCATAACCCAACCCCCCTCTGCCCGGCCACCCTCAGTTTGTTTTGTGACAGTAAGAGTGTCTTATGGTTTGTATCCCTCCTGATCCCATCTTGTTTCATTTATTCTTTCCCTACCCCTCAAGCCCGCAACGTTGCATCTCCACTTCCTCATATCAGGGAGATCATATGATAGTTGTCTTTCTCTGATTGACTTATTTCGCTCAGCATAATACCCTCTAGTTCCATCCACGTCGTTGCAAATGGCAAGATTTCATTTCTTTTGATGTGATGCCCTCAGTTTTTGTTTTCTTTTTCAATATTCCCCTGGGGATTTGGGATCTTTTTTGGTTCCATATAAATTTTAGGATTGTTTCTTCTGGCTCTGTGAAAATGTTGATGGAATTTTGATAGGGATTGCACTGAATGTGTAAATTGCTCTGGACAGCATAAATATTATAACAATGTTTATTCTTCCAATCCATAAGCATGGGATGCTTTTCCATCTCTTTGTGTCTTCCTCTATTTCTTTCGTAAGTGTTCTGTGGTTTCTGAAGTGTAGATCTTTTACCTTTTTGGTTAGGTTTATTCCTCGGTATCTTATGGGTTTGGGTGCTATTGTAAAAGGGATTGATTCCTTCATTTCTTTCTCTTCAGTCACATTGTTAGTGTATAGAAAAGTAACTGATTTCTGTGCATTGAGTTTGTATCTTACCAAGTTGTTGAATTGCTGTATGAGTTCTAGCAATTTTGGGGTGAAGTCTTTTGGGTTTCCACATAAAGTATCATGTCATCTTGGCGAAGAGAGAGAACTTGACTTCTTCTTTGCTGATTTGAATGTCCTTTATTTCTTTTTGTTGTCTGATTGCTGAGGCTAGGATTTCTAGTATTACGTTGAACAAAAATGGTAAGAGTGGGCATCCCGGCTGTGTTCCTGACCCGAAGGGAAAACTTTCCGTTTTTCCCACTGAGAACATTTGTTGTGGGCTGTTCATAGATGCCTTTTATGGTTTTGAGGTATGTTCCCTCTATCTCTGTATTCTGAAAGAGTTTTAATCAGGAAAAGATACTGTATTTTGTCAAATGCTTTTTTGCATCAATTGAGAGGATCAGAGGGTTCCTGTCTCTTCTTTTGCTAATGTGCTCTATCATGTTGATTGATTTGTGAATGTTGAACCACCTTGGATCCCGGGAATAAATCTCACCTGGTCCTGGTGAATAATCCTTTGAAGGTACTGTTGAATCCTATTGGCCAGGATCTTGTTGAGTATCTTGGTGTCCATGTTCATCAGGGATATTGGTCAGTAATTTTCCTTTTTGATGGGGTCTTTGTCTGGCTTGGGGATCAGGGTAATGCTGGCCTCATAGAACGAGTTTGGAAGTTTTCCTTCCATTTCTATTTATTGGAACACCTTCAGTAGAATAAGTGTGATTTCTTCTTTGAATGTTTGGCAGAATTCCCCTGGGAAACCACCTGGCCCTGGACTCTTGATCTTTGGCAGGTTTTGACGACTGTTTCAATTTCCTTGCTGGTTATTGGTCTGTTCAGATTGTCTATTTCTTCCTGTTTCAGTCTTGGTAGTTTATGAGTAACCAGGAATGCATCCATTTCTTCCAGATTGTCTAGTTTGTTGACATATAGCTGCTGGTAACAAGTTCTAATAATTGTCTCTATTTCCTTGGCTTTAGTCCTGATTTCTCCCCTTTCATCATGATTTTATTAATTTGAATCCCTTCTCTTTTCTTTTAGATAAGTCTGGCATAGGTTTATCGATCGTATTAATTCTTTCAAAGAACCAGCTTCTAAGACATTGATCCATTGTACTGTTCTTCCGGTTTCTATTTCATTGAATTCTGCTCTAATCTCTATTATTTCTCTTCTGCTGCTTGGTTT